AAAGGGAATCGCTTCGGCTTCGGTTATACAAAACCACAGTCCATTACTCGGACGATGGGACGCATCGTCTCCGAGTAACAAACCCCAAATGGCGAACCAAGGCAAACCACCTCATCATCTCCGACGAGGGACGCATATCCCTTAAGACATCGAGGGAACGCTTCGTCTCAGTCAACCGAAGTATGTTCGCAAACAGCCAAATTTGAAAAAAGATGAAACTTGTAAAGCAATAAGTACATAGACGATGCGACACCAACAGTCCACAAGTCAAAAAAACTATAAAGACGAAGCAACGCTTAGTCTTAAACCAGCTGGGGTACACTTACACCTAGTACTTGGCAAAAATTGTGAAAATCAAAAGATGCATGGCAATTTAAAGCAACAAAGACGAAGCGAGGAACAACATTCATACTTGGAACAAAAATGTTATCATTAATGATTCAAAAAGGGGGCGCTTCGGCCATTACACACAAGAGGGCGCTTCGGCCGTTACAAAAGTCAGGGCGCTTCGGCCAATACTAATCTATCAGACGCTACGTCTGAGACAAAAAGAAGGAAAAAGAGGAAGAAACACAGATACATCTCAAGCTTCCTGGCCTTGGCCACCTTCAACGGCTCCACTGTCCGCATCGTCCTGTTCATCTTCGGTATTCTTGGACTTGACCGAGCTCCGAAAGAGGTAGTCGTCACTCTCGGTCCAGGGCCCGTCCTCCTCGCTCGAGCTCAGAATGGGAGGTTGCCTCTCGGACAGGGGGAGCTTCAACTCCTCCTCGGGGTCTTTCATGATCCGCGGAAGGCCGATACCCCTAGGCTTCAAGTTCTTCACACGCCGGCGGAGGCGGCGGTAAACCAACATCTGCATACGCCTCTGGCCGAGGTCGTACCAGACTTCAAACTCCTCTTTCAGGCGGGCTCGGCCAGCTTCCTCCTGAGACCACGCCTCGAAGCGCTCCGCCACGACGTTAAAGCTCCAATCGCGGCGGGCATCGTCCTTCCAACCTTCAGCCATGAACAGTTCAATGGCTCTATCAGCAGCCGCTGTCGCATCGGCCTCTAACTTCACGGCTCTTTCCTCTGCCAGCCGACGTGCAGCCGCTTCCTCATCCAGCTGAACTTTGAGGCGCCTCGCCTCGTCCTCAGCCACCACGGCTCTCCTTTCAGCCGCATCAGACTTATCCTTCAGGGAGTCGGTCTCAGTTCGGAGCCGCTCTAACTGGGAAAGCGCCTCGTCAGCAGCAGCGGCTTTCTTCTCAGCCTCCCGAAGGCGAGCAAGCTCCTCCACCTGCCGGCGCTGCTGCTCCATCAGCATAAAAGCCCCCTGCCGAGACAAATAATGGTCAGAAGAGGAAAAGAATGCAAAAATTACTAAGTACAAAAGCCGGGACTTACCTGGACGACGTAGTCCAAACCGCCATCGAAGAGGCGCACATCCTTGCTCTGCCGCCGCAGGTACTCCCTGTCGGCATCGGGAATGGCCTGGAACAAGACGTCGTGGCCTGACACCTTCTCGTTAAAAAGCCCGCCCTTGGTCGGGTACCGCACCGTCACCTCATACAGGCCGGTAGCCGGATCTCGATCGGCGCGAGTGCTTCCCTTGGCAACAGCACCAGACTTGGTGGGGACTACGGCGGACGAGGCGACATTCAAAGTCAGATCCTCGATAACTTGCACGTCGGAGACAACTTCCCCTTGAACCGACGCCTGCGCATCAAGGAGAGGAGGGTTCCGCTTCGTCTTTTTGGCACCCTGGGCCGGTATCAGACCCGTCTCGGCAAGGGTACGCTGACCCTCCTCAACGGCCTTCTTCCTCTTCACCACTGGCTTCTGCGCCGCGTCGGCTTGGGATTTGGTCCCGTCACCAGAAACCTTGGACGCTTCGGCCTGTTGAACGGCCTCCATCTCTTTGGCAACCATTTTCTTGGCCTGAGCCATGAAAAGCTTGCGACTCATCTCAAAACCTGCAGATACGATACAAAACAAAGATTCAGAAACAAAAGGGAAAGAAGCTAAGTACACAAGGATTAAAGAAAAGCTATCAACCTTCGGCCTCGGCCGGGATCCCAATAGGTGGCCCATCGGCCTGCTCAAAGTAACCGGACATCTTCGGCCACAAACCACAGTCAGGATCGCCTGGTATGTAGTAGCGCATCATTCCAAGGGCCGCAATCTTGAACTCAGTAATATAGGTGTTGACGCTCCGCGGCCCACCCTTCAGGAACGCCTCCACCTGAGCATCGATCTCAGCGCTCTTCGGTGGAGTGTGCAAGTTAAAAAGCCCATTATGGCCTTGAGAGGGAAAGAAGACCCCGTCGGCCAACTTCACAAAGCAGAATTTGCTTTTCCACCCGTGGATGGACGAAGGGAGATCTATGAAGGACCTCTTCTTCGGCAACTGCTGAAGCGCCGCGTAGCCAGCACAGTTCTCATGGCTTCCCCGGCCGATCCGGTACAAATTCATAAACAACGCCGTCGTGGGCTCAATCCTAAGCTCGTCACACCGGATAAGGAACCCGACGATGATGGAGTAACTGTTCGGCGTTAGTAGAGCCGGGGGAAGGTCCAACATCTTCAGATATTGGACGACAAAAGGAGGCAGCGGAAACCTCAAGCCTTGGGAAAAACTCATTGGATACACCCCGAAATATCCAGGGGGTGGGTCCAAGATGTGGTCCGTCGGCTTCGGCGCCCTCACCTTTCCATAGGGGCCGACGTACAACTGCGCCACCTGGTATTCGCTCTGGGTGCTCTCCGGCCTTATAAGATAAAGGTTTGTCAGATCCAATTGCGAAAGCCCGCCGGATACACCTTTCCGACGACGCGATGTACGTCTCTTCACCACCCCAGAGGACGACGCGCCACCCGGAACAGACGAAATTGGTGGTGGACAGGGGATGGCGGCCGATGAAGCATCACCAGCATTATCTTCGCGAAGCCGGGGCTCGGAGCTCGCTTCATCCTCACCAGAAGGTTGAGAACCCGCATCGGCACTTAGACGCTCCTCGTCCACAGAGGTGCGGTAATCCGCAGTGTTCTCCATCTCAATTTCAAAAGCCTCCACTACTCTTAGATCCACCCCAGGAGATGTGTCCTCGTCGTCAAAAGGCCAATCAGATTCGTTCAGCGAAGCTGTTAAGTCAATTGGGGAGGGGACGCTACGGCCGTCAGGGAACGGCATAACAACTATCGCTACGTCCTAAGGGTAGTTTTTCGGATCAAAGTGACTTTCCTAAAGAACACTAGATCTAATACCCTAAGGAGCAAAATATGAAGAAATCAAAGAAAAAATTAAAGTATCTAACCTTTAAAGATTCGAAGAATGTGACGAACACTTGGAAATTCTCAGAGCTTTCTCTCTCTAGAAAGACTTGGGCAGCAATTCGACAACAGCAAAGGCGCAAATGAGGAAGTGGCTTCAGAATAAGGGGGTATTTATAGAAAACCTCCAAACGGTCACTACACGTGGCGCCATCCCATTGGCTCCACCAACGGCCACCTCTTCCAACCAATCAAGGGGCGCCAATTCAAAAAGGCATCGCTACGGCCCAACTCAACCTTACAAAGGCAAGGTATCGGCTGGATACCGCTACGGCCCAATTACTACAAAGCTCCAGAACAGGCATCGGCCCATCCTCCCGAAAAAGGAACGCATCGGCCTAAAACTCAACGTCCTCACAGCAACCCAAGGAACCTTAATAGACCGCTACGGCCGCCGTGCGCGCATCGTCGATGATAACCCTGGCATTGCGGCCTTCGTCCAAGGGTTCTCCCACAGGGTTACCTTGGACAGGTTCGCCTAAGGGTTGGAGTCACGACTAACGCATAGGTACCGGATCGGTTCATTACTCCCTTGTGCCTCAGATGCTCTTCGGCCAAAGGAGTGGGGAACTGGGGGACTGCATCGGCCACAAGAAAAGAAAACGCAACGGCCTCAAATGCAAAGAGGGCACGCTACGGCTTTCCTACAACAAAAAACTGGGGATCGCATCGGCTACAGAGCCCAGGAATTAGAACCCCAAGATAAAGAAAATCTAACGCAACGACTACGTACACTGAGAGGGCCGCATCGTCTCACCATAACAAAAACTCACAAGCCAAGACGCTTCGACTGCATAACAAACCAAAGGTGCGCATCGCATCGTCTGCATAAACAGAATCAACCATCCTCTCACGAAAATATGTCTTCGCTACGGCCAAAAGGATAAATGGGAGCTCTTCGACCCCAACAAAGATGACAATGAAAGCATGCCAACTTATCCACACCGGAATTCATCACATCATCTACAAGAAAGAAAGCGCATCGCCTCGTCTTCAAAAGCACTTCCACAGAGAGTGCATCGGCCAGCATCAAGGCTACGAATTCCCAGGCGCGCTTCATCTACATCAAGTAAGGGAACCGCTTCGTCCAAAATCGAAGCAGAAACTCTTCGACCATCAAGCACCTTGGGCTCACGCACCGGCTAGCCCGAAAAGAACAAGTACTCCCTTTCGCTTCGGCTTCACCTCAGCTCAGAGAGTGGGGGACTCCTGATAGAGTATATGGGTCTGGACCCCATGGCCCACATACTCAACGGCCCAAAAGACACCAGCGGGACACCCGCATCGTCCAGAGACACGTAGCGTCCAAGAGAGAAGATATCGCCGGATTTCTATAGACCGCATCGTCCATGGACCGCGTCGTCCATGGACCGCGTCGTCTATGGACCGCATCGTCCATGGACCGCATCGTCCATGGACCGCATCGTCCGGACTTCGTCCGGGCAGAATGTATTTTCCTATTTTTTGTACTAAGTGTTGTACTCATCCCATTAGTGGCCTTATTCGCCCAAAGAAGGCATGATTATTGTAATGGGCCTCCTAAGCCCAAGGCTAGGGGCCCAAATCTACATTTTTACCTATAAATAGACCCCAAGGGGCTAATTATAGGGGATTCTTTTCCCAATTGAGAAATAATTACTCACTTTCTCTCTCTAGCTCTCACTTCTCCCTAGAATTAATACTCTATCAAACGGTTAGCGCATTTACTATGGAATCAAATATTCCGGCACAAATCTAGCGATTGAAAACTTCCAAAAATACTCGCGCCTGGAGTTGTTCGATTTGAGTTTCCATTTTTGTGCCGCAAAAACAACGAAGAAGAAAGGAAAAGTGCAGTTAAGATGGAAGAAGATGATGATTTTCAAAGTCAGAGCACGAGACGAATGAGCGCTCGACTGAATCCAGTACTCGTAAGTTTTCGAAGTATGCACGTCTTTGAATGTAAACGAAAATGAATAATGGATGTGAAATGACTAATGTTGTTTTAATGTAGTTTTTGTTTGATTTATTTGTTTGATTTATGGAATTATTCAGAGTTTTTTAATGTAGTTGTTTTTTGATTTGTGGCATTTTCCGCATTTGTTGTTTGATTTTTTGTTTAATTTATGGAATTATGTTGTATGAATGTAGTTGTTGTTTGAGTTCTGATAGTATTCGAATTTGTTGTGTAATAGATGGATTACATTTTGGAAGAAACGATAATTGTGTGTGTTTGTGTAAGTAGTATCTGCGGAAATGCCAAATTCGTGGATGAATTGAGAAACGTGTAGAACAGGGAGTATTTGTTCATTTGAGTATTTATGAGCAGACAATGGAAGTATTTACAATGAATATACTAAAATGGAGTGAATATAGTAAATTTAATTTGGCAGTTTCTGTGTGATATATGTCATAAACAAGTGAAACTTTAATTATGTTTTGGAATGTAAATTTGTGATATATAAATTCAAATTTGTGTGTGTATGTAGCTAAATAGTAAATGCCAAAATAATGGAGGAACTGGGAAAATGTAAAACAAAGAGTATTAGTTGATGAGACTATTGTAGAAAAGACAATAGCATATTTAGAATGAAAAAGTACTAAAATGGAATGAATTTAGTTAACTTGGCTTGTGTAAATACTAATTGAGGACTGCCATAGTAGTGGACAAATTGGGAAACATGTAAAACAGGAAGTAATACTAATATTATGATGTCATACTTTACCGCATTATAAAATAGTTGGAGATAGATAGTTGGATACATAATGACAAAATGTTGGAAGAAATATTAATACTGTAGCACAAGTTATGTGAAATACAAATTGAATGGTCATAATTTCAGAAAGAAATATATGGATGATGTCATGGAGCGTGAATTTAATGACACTTTATTTGAACTGGTGATGTTATGGAATAAGGATGTCATGTGTTACAAGATTTTAATTAACAGGTGGAGAGATGTGGAAATAAAATATACATAATGACAAAATATTGGAAGAATTACTAATTTTGCAAAGCAGAAGTTATGTAAATGACAACTGTAATGGTCATATTTTTGAAAAAATTTATCTACTTACTGCCATGGAGTGTTAAACTATTATGAATGTAATATGGAATAAGAATGTCATGTTTTACCACATTGTTTGCTTAATGGTAGTGGACATTTTAGTTATGCCAATTTTTTTTTTTTGATAAATTAGGTGATTCAGAGATCTTTCAAGGAAACTGAATTGGAGAATATTGAGAGCATGCGCATTAACTGCTACTGCAATCTGAGTGAAGTCGTGAAGAGGATATTGATGAAACTGAATCCAAATGAAGTAGAGGAGTTCAGAAAGACAGTGTTCGGATGGGTTTTGGATGTGGACGAAATGAAAAAAATCAGTGGTCAACTGCAGCTCGGTTTTCTATGCAACTATGTGAAGAAGGTAAACCACATAAAAGAGACAGAAGCTATTCGCTTCCACATCCAAAACAGTGTAATTAGCTTTACCAAAAAAGATTTATGCATGGCACTAGGATTGAAAATGGATGCTGTGAAACCAAATTTAGAAGAGGAGATGAAAGGACCTTTCTGGGAAAAATACTTTGGAAAAGCAAGTGTGAAAAGAAGAGAGGTACAAAATGCATTGATGGAATATAATAGTGAAGAAGCAGGAGTTGAACGAAATGATGGTGTGAAGCTTGCTCTACTCCATGTGCTATCACATGGATTATTTGGGAACCAAGTGGCTAGGGAATTACCAAGCTCTTATGTGAATCTGGTAGAAGATTTAGAGGCATTCAACACATATCCATGGGGTGAAGATGTTTGGGCAGATTTGGTGAGCAACATGAGGACAAATGCCAAGAGCCTTAAGAAGTGCAAGGGAGAACGTGTGACTGTACCAGGATGTCTAATAGCAATACAAGTCTGGGCGTTTGAAACTTTTACAGGGTTGGCAAAGGCAGATATATGCAAGGTAATTGAAGGGAGAGAAATGTCAATTCCAAGAGCAGTGAAGTGGGAGTTCCTAAAAAAGCCGCATTTAGAAGTTTTCTGCAACATAATCTTCAAAAACAAAGAGGTAAATCCGCTTACTACCTAAATATTTAAATAGCATGTGAACTTAAAACTTTTACATATAAACTGAATCTTTGTGGTGTTTTCATGCAGTTTGAATGGGAAAGGATGCAGGCTACAAGTTTGGAAATTGAAAAATTTCCAAATTTGCGGCCTAATACTGGTGGCATAGTTGGAGAGAGAATTGAAAGTGTGAAGTTATTCGAAAAAAAAGAGAAGAAAGGGAAGCAGAAAAATACAAGGATTGGGAGAAAAAGAAAAAATAAAGAAGATGTGCAGGAAGAGGATGATGATGATAAAGGCACAGTGGGCTTTGGCTATGAGAGGAAAGTTAATGTTGTGTTGAGACAGGTCAGGAAGCTTAGCAAAGAAAATGCCAAACTAATGGCAGAAATGAAACAATTCAAGAAATCACAGAAGAGGCTTGAGAGATTTCTTAAGCAAATATTGGAAAGGTTAGATAACCAAGAGAAGGGTAAGCAGATAACTGAGGAGAGTACAGATGAAAGCACTGAAAAGGAGCAGGAAGAATCAAATGAAAAATCAGAGAGTGAAGATGACAAGAATGCTGAAAGCACTGAAAAGGAGCAGGAAGAATCAAATGAAAAATCAGAGAGTGAAGATGACAAGAATGCTACAGCTTCTGAAGATAATGTTGAAGGTGAGGTGGAAAGCAGTTTGCCAAATTTTAATATTTTTGGACCAGAGACTCAGGAGAAATTAAAGAAAGCAGATGAAGGTGAAAGTGTGGAAGAAAAAGAAGAAGGAGATGCAACTGAGGCAAACAAGACTGTTGACAAGAATGCTATAGATGCAGCAACCGAGGGTGGAGTAATGGAAGAAGAAGTTGAGAAGAATGATAAAGATGCAGCAGAGGAGGGTGCAAGAATAGAAGAAAAAGAACAAGAAGCAAGTGAGAAAGGTAAAAACAATGTAAATGATAATGATGCTTGGGGAGATGTGAACACACAATTTGTGAATGAAATGATCACAAGTGTGGAAGAAGTAGAGAAACAGATGCTAGGGAGTAATTCAAGAAAAGAGAGCACAAATGCCAACATCAATGTGAAAGCGGTAATATCTTTTATCATACCTTTAATAAATAATTTTTTAAAAAATGAATACCTCTATGGTATATGGGATGTGCTGAGTAGTTTGTGTTTTTTATGTGTTGGGTTTAATAGCAGGATAGCGAAAAAGGAAATGAAGAGAATGAAATGAGGGAAAGCATGAGCAAGGGTGAAGAAACAGAAAAGGATGTAAGTATATTTTGGAATTAATTACAAATATTTGGAAAAACTGCCAAACATTTGGAAAAATAAATTGTAACAGATTACTAATTTACAGGTGAAAACCATATGCGCACAAGTGAAGAGACCAAAGCGCACTGCAAGGACCCCAGACAGATATACACCTGCAGAAAGTAGAATTCAGGCAAAGAGAAGAAGGAAGGAAATAGCAAAAAAAAGGGATGAGGAAACTTTTTTTCCTCCAAGAGAATATGGACCGTTTGCGGAAGACCCAACTGAGCAACCACCAGTAGAAGAAATGAATAAGGTGGCAGAATATCTGAAAGTTGGACTGTTGAAGAGACTGACAAAAAAGGATGGTGATAGAAAGTACAGAATGGATGAGGATAAGATGCACGGTGTCCCATTTCTTCTGGATATGCACAAAATAGAGTCCAAAACGTGGTTGTACAAGTTGTTTGTCAATCCAGAATGGCTAGATGATACGGTAATGCTTTACTTTTACTATTAAAAAAGTATGTTGCAGATGTCTTAGTAAACTGTCATTAACATAGGTACTGTGATAAATTTTTAACATTTGATTTTGGTTTTAAAATTGGTCTGCAGCATATGGATGTGGGAATGTTTTACTTGAATATGAAACAAGTGCACTACAAGTTGAAGGGCCCCAAATACACCACATGTGGACCATTTTTTATGCAGGTGCTCAGGCGTGAAAATGAGGCAGTTAAGAAGGGTGAGGAATCATTCAAAACTGCAGTAGACAATTCGATAATTGCAGACGATATCTTAGGGATTGCTTATCCTTTTGATCGGAGTTGGGCACAATCAGACTTCGTTTACATACCTCTCAATACCGGAAACCACTGGGTACTACTAGTTTTGGAAGTAAATGAAAGAAAAATAAGGATTTACAACTCCAACAGCAGAAGGGCAGATTCTTTACGCGAAATTAGGCCTTATGTGCACAACATTGAGTGGTTCCTGCCAAAAATAATGGACATGCATGGAGTGTATCAAGACATTGGGCAGGAGCCGATGAATGAGAAAAAGATTGAATTGGAAGCTGTGGAGGACTGTCCTCAACAAGATGATGGGTAATAAATCACTTCTTAACTATTTAGTTGGACTATATCATAAATTAGAGTAAATTATGATATTTAATTGACAATGTCTTTTTTTGTTTTTTTAACTGCATGTGATATGATAATGACAGAGGGAACTGTGGCATGTATGTTTTGAAGTTTGCTGAATTTCTTATGATGGGGATGGATATAAAAGAGGTTGCCTCACTGGACATGAGCATGTATCGGCAGAAAATGGCAACAGAGTTGTTCTTGTATAACGCAAAGAGGACAAAGGAATGTAAACTGAAGGAATCTTAGAGCAGTATGGCAGAAGACAAAGTACAAGGCTGGTGTGATGATGGTTTATGGATGAATATGTTTTTAATATTTGAATTTTTTGTAATGCTGTTTGATTGTTTTTTGCAATACTGTTGACATAAACTTACTTTTGCGAAGCACAATATGCTGACAATATATGTGGCATAATCTCATATACTATGTTAAAATAAAGAAAAAAAATCTCATATACTATGTTTTGAAATGCCTAAACATTGGCATTTTTTTCCAGAAAATTATATTTGGTTTATTATGTAGTCACATTGATACAGATTGACATTTTTCTTAATGAGACAAGTATTATACCAGCATCTGGAAAAGGTCAGAGTTCAAAAAAGCATAACATGTACAAAACTCAATTAAAAGTTCACTTGGGTATACATTGGGTTTTTAATCATTGAGACAACTCGATATGAATAAGCCTAACAGCTACAGTACTGAATTATAATAAAAAGTGAATACATGTATTTACTTAGAAGAGATTCATGAGCTGCCAATATATGTGGCAGAATGTAGTACGTAATGTTTGAAAATTCCGAAATATTGGCAGTTTAGAGGAATAAAACATAGAGCCCATAATGCCAATAATATGGAAGAAAAACGAAATTGTGAATGAATGTAACAGTAATGGTGTGAATGCAAAAATAATGTAACGTCTATGGAATACCTTAATAGGCACATGTAAACAAGGATTAAAATTCTAAGAAAATGGAAAAATTATGAGTTGTAATGTGGAATGGAAGGATTGCTATTAGGGAATAAATAATTTAAATGTGGAAAATGGACAAGATTAATCTCAACTATCATTGACCTAATTTAAATAAGAGATAATTACCCGTTTAAGACTAAAAGTGGACACATATGCACAAATAGGACTCAAAAAAGTGGACACATATGCATTATAATCATAAAACGGCCATAATGCCAAATATATGGAAAAACAGCACGGGTATACATATGCATTATAATCATAAAAAACATACTAGTGACAGACATTTGATATTTAACACAACACAACAATAACTGCAGATTGGTGGTTTACATGTATTAGAGTAAAGAGTAAAATTGTATAATATGGCCCAAGAAGCTTATTGGAAATACAAAATAGAAAGTGTTTAATACAGTGGAATCATGATTGACTATCTACGACACGCATGGCATTGCGACAAGTCTTCTTGTTATGGCCAACAGCATGACAACGAGAACATCTTTTACGTTTGGTACTGCAATGTTCACCGATGGATGGAATTCTAGACTTTTTTGGGCGACCAGCAGGTCTTTTCTCACAAAGGGGTGGCTTGCATTGAATACTCAAAACGTTGGAAGGAATCAACCAAGATGCTGCATCACAGATTGGGTGCATGACACCATTCCATGTGGAATACCAGTAATGACGTGTGTAGTATGGGGAAATGTAATCATAGCAAGACAGTTGAGGTCGAAAATTGATAGCAGCAACTGCATGAACGCAAACAAAATGAGAAAGTTGAAACTCCCCACATGTACATGTCTTGGCATTGAGATCAACAACAAAGGAGCGTGAATGCCTATCAATCACTTCAAACTCCAAAAATGAACACGGCTTGACCTGACATAAAAAAAATGCAAATTAATATGATATTTGACATTGGGAAAAGCAAAAATAGAAATCATGAATTCTGAACACGATGGCAGAAACAAATAATACATTTATGAAAATGCCAAAATTGTGGCAGTAATATGAATAAACAAACAAATCAGAAGTGCAGAACCAGAACTAACCCTCAGTCTGCTAGCTTGACTCTGAAGCGCAACAAGAACCTTCTCACGTTTTTTTGACAAAATAGTTGTTGTCATTTCAGCCTTTTCTTTTCTCTCAGCAAACCATTGTTGCATCCTTCCTCTCAAAAAATCAATAAGTTTGGAGACAGAATACTCCCTTGCTGAAACGTCAACATTGTTCATTGACTCCGCACAGTTTGATGTCATTATATCATACCTCCGAGGACCGGACATGCATTTAGCCCATTTATGACTGCCAATTTTATCTAGCCACGGCCGTATACGGATATCTTCAGAATCCAACAATGACATATACTCTTCGTACTCCTTCACAGTTGCAGCCATATACGCAGCTTTGAACTTCCAACATAAATCAACTGTGGAGCCCCTAAATTTAGAAATCATGTTACGACGCAAATGCTCAACACAATAGCCATGACCAGCGTGGGGGAAAATACGTTTAGCTGCACTAATCAAGCCCTTATGCCTATCTGATACAATGTACATGTCCTCACGGAACATCAATGCTTCACGAACTTTAGAAAAAAACCACAGGTAAGACTCTTTACATTCTGCATCACATATACCAAAGGCTAGGGGGACAATGTGGCCATTTGCATCCTGTGCACAGGCTGTGAGAAGCGTACCCTTGTAGTAGGCCTTCAGAAATGACCCGTCTACAATTAGAACGGGTCTGCAATATTTCCATGCCTCTCTCCAAGGTAACAGGGACATGAAAAAATATTGGAAGACATCATCATCTGAAGTTGTAAGAGAAATAAGGGAATCTGGATTTGCCTTTTCAAGAGCGTAAGCCAAAGCCGGTAGCATTTGGTAGGACTCAGAATCTGATCCAAACTGTTTCTGCATAGCTATCTTCTGAGCTCTCCATGCCGTCTTGTAAGACATGGAAATCCCATGGTTCAGGAGCATGTCTTCTCTTATTTGGTTTGGCGTATAAGGCTTTCTTGAAGCATCCAAGTATTTATGAGCTACAAGATCTGCAATAGTCCGGTATGTTGCTTGGCGATGTTTGCCTTGCCTGAAATCCATAGAGCATGTGTGTAATGATTTAAACCTGTCAGGAAAAATACAAAAAAATTGAATATGTCAAGTAGTACAACTATGCCAAAGTATTGGAATAAAACTGAAAGACAGAAGAGTTAAGGACATGTAAAATAATGAGGGAATACCTTCGGATCTGAAACATTTGGACACCGCGTAGTCTAACAGCCCTCACAGACCATTTACATTTAGAATCCTTACAAACAACATGCAAACATTTCTTCTTGATGTACGTGTCTTGAATTGGAAAACATTGTCTATGGCATACAACCTCAAATGGTGAAGAAGAACTGCTTTGGATTTGTAAATAGCATGCAACAAAATCTGAGTTGGGTGATAGTGAGTGATCAGGTCCAAATTATGAGGAACAGAAGATGTCTCATTATTTGTGGAAAAAGAAGGTGATGGACAAGGGCTAACATCTGGTGTTGGACTACGAGATATAACACATGTGTTGCTCATATGACTTTGGAAAGCATCAATAAAATTGGTTTCATTGTTGGCAGTGATGTATTCTTGTTCAGTATAGCTTGTGGTAAGAATGGAAGAACGAATATGACTAGAAGATTGGTTTGATGAAGAAGGAATGTTAGATATAACACTTTGTGGAACAGAAAGTGTGGGAGAAGAAATGATGTCAGCCGAAAATTGAACACACAAGGGAGATTTTTGAAAATCACTTTGAAGAGACTTAAGATTAAGGAAAAAACGAAATGTATCCTCATCTTGGATAACAACTGGGGGAGGACAACCATCAACCATGTAAGATAACTTGAAGTCCTTATTTGGTTTGTAAGGAGAAAATATAGATGCTAGTTGTTCCTTGAAAGCTGTGTATGTAGCAGAAAAGCAAACTTGCATGGCATAGATGGCATTGCAATTGAAATTATAATCTGTGTCCCAACTCCCGTCAACTTTTACCATAATCAGTATAACAGCATCCATATTCATAACTAAGAAACATAAGAACAACACAATTGCATCAGGGATGAACAACACATAAATTAATTTTCATGTAATGTAAATGATACTGCCAAAACGGTGGCAATAACATACATATAAAGCCGAATAAACTTTTGCATATTATAATTAGCCTTAAATTCGTGATCGATTTCTCAGACAATACGGTAAAATTTCATTAAGATAGGAATGATAGTCATGATCAAAAAGCGAAATAAAGAGCAACAAATTGAAAAACAAAATCAACGATGATGCTCATAATAACAATAAAAAGTATGCAGAATTCATGTGCTAACCTTAAAAGCATGAAATTTAATACAGAGATAATCCAAAGCAATCATTCTGTTCGTTAAGTGGGACATGAACAATAAACAGTGTAATCGCTAGCGTAGATTTTACATACCGGAAAGTTACGTTGTTGTATGGAAGACGAATTGAAGATCACGCGCTTAATTTGGAACTCTGAAAGCTAGGTTTGCGTAAACTTGCAGAGAAGAACAAACTGAACGCAGGAAGGAAGAAGAAGAAGTAGGCGCGCAACTGACCGGAGAATAAAGAAAGGAAACGAATAAAAAAACGGTTAAGGCGGCTTAAAATATTTCAGGGGTAAAACGGGAATGGCGATTTGGTCATGTTTCCTAATAAGACCAGTTCGGTCTTATTTGAGCAATAAATTATAAGTGGTCGTATATATGAATTTCGGAAGGTTTTTTATCCTAGTTGCAGCAATTACTATAAATGTAATTATTTCCATTTTTTTGTGCGTTTTATCCTATTTTTTTGTAATACGCGGCCAAAAGGCCGTTCATAGAATCATAGACCGAATGTTTGGTTAGTTCTTACTCCGTATTTGTCTTCCGCATCTTCTGCAGCCACCTACCCATTGGCCGAGCGCGTCTTCCTCACATCATCAAGCTGCAATGGCGTCTGTGGCCTCTCTCACCGGTGCCACCACTCGCCTCCCCCCTTACACCTCCATCGCCGCAGCTTCTTTTACCTCCGCTTCTTCTCTAAAACTAAAATGCTTCCGATCTTCACATTTACTCTCTACAGTCTTCCTCTCCCAGTCCCAGGCATCCTACCATCATCGTTTTCTTTCTGTTTATGATAGATGCGTACTTAAATAGGCTTTCTGATAAAGGAATGTGTCTTATTTCCAGAAGAGAGCGGTGGCTCCACTATTTACCCGAAGCTTCGGCTCCGTGAAGTCGCCTAAATGCTTTGCTTCGGATGCCGATCAATTGAAGAGTGCGAAAGAGGACATCAAGGAGCTACTCAGGACTAAATTTTGCCATCCAATTTTGGTAACAGTCATGGATTTATCTGTTTTTATGTGGCGAATATACTCCTCTCCCTAGCCATTTAGTTACTATTCATCCCTTTCCCCGTTCTTACCTCCTCAAAATCTAATTTTTAATTCGATAGTGACACTACTTCTTCTGTACCCTTCCTTCGCAAAAGTTAATTTATTATTCTTGGGACAGTGAATAAATAAAGTCATATTTCCTTATTTTGTAAACAAAAATTTAGAATCAAATACTCTAGAGTAAGGTGGAAATGTGGAATTATACAACTTTTTATATTTCTTGATCTTTTTAGTTTACTCTAAACTTTATTTAACAGTGTCAAGTAGTTCACTCTAATAATAATAAAACTCTATTATAACTTATAAATGGCATTTAATTTACTCTATAACTTCAAGTAACCATTGTAACACTTTACTAAAAAGGGCAGCCGGATGCACATTGGTGTCCCTGCAGGATGATGTCCGGGGAGGGGTCCCATCAGAAGGATGTGTATAAGGAGCAAGCCTTCCCTTGTCATTTTGACATTTTGACTAGAGGCTGCTCCCAACCCTGAACCCGTGACCTCCCAATCACAGCAACACCGTAACCGGTGCATCAAGGCTCCCCTTCATTGTAACACTTTACTCTGCATTAATATTTATCCTCAGTAAATAAAGGCTTTCTGGTCGTTAAAAAAAGGCTTTTCTGGAAGTAAAAGAATAAAAACGATATCCTTAAATTATTTAAAGGTCAAGCTAGGAACTTCTTTTAGTTACGGAGAGTATCAATTTTTATGCAGCCTATTAAAGTATTAATATGCAAGTTCTATGTGCACATGATATATTAGAGCATTACAAAAGCTGAACTGAAAATATCTTTGCTCGAAGATGGGATGGAGGGAGTAATAGGTAAAAAGTTACATGTAGCGGTACACTAGGCATCTATATACGTATACATTTGTGTGTGTATTTATGGATAACAACAGAAAGTAATTCTGGTGTAATGATGAGGAGTATGGCAACACATAAATGTTTTTTTACGCCTCAATGAATACAGGTGCGTTTGGGTTGGCATGATGCTGGTACTTATAACAAAAATATTAATGAATGGCCAAAAAGAGGTGGAGCTAACGGAAGTCTAAGATTTGAGGTTGAATTGAAACATGCAGCGAATGCTGGTTAGTTGTAATTCAGGATTTGTCTTTTTGCTCTCCACTTATTGTGTATCCTTACAAAACTGACACTTCAGGTCTGGTGAATGCATTTAAGCTTCTACAGCCCATAAAGGATAAATACTCTGGTGTGACTTATGCTGACTTGTTTCAGTTGGCTAGCGCTACCGCTATTGAGGTAGCTATCTATTTTCATTCTTGTACATATATAAAAATGTGTTCACTTGTTCTTTGAAAGTGTAGGAGGCTGGGGGACCCAAAATTCCAATGAAATATGGAAGAGAAGATGTATTGGGTCCTGAGCAATGCCCAGAAGAAGGGAGGCTTCCTGGTGAGAACCTAGTTCTTTTCTTGTTTATTATGTAGTAATATGAGCTTTTGGTTTCATAAATTTTTGCTCAGTCCTCAGTTGAATACATAATTTTGTCAATGTTCAGAAGAAGGGAGGCTTCCTGGTGGCATGGTTCAGTTCGTTTCTGTATTGAGTTTGTTTACTATACTGCAATCTGAGCTTTTACAGTAGAAGCAATATTACAATGATTGTGTAACCACTAATCAGTGTTAGTTTCACAAATCTTTAGTGTTCAACTACCCCTATTTGAATACATAATGTGTTACTTCTTTTCCTTAGTAGCAACCAATGCTTCATAGTGAATAACAAATAAAACCTCATTACGATATAGTGAGTAACGGGAGAAAATCTTTATCACTGTTAGAATATACATATTTAATGTTAGAATATACATATTTAATAGTCAATATATTCTATGTATATATTTGGTAGCTAATATATTCTCTGCGATAGACTAAATATTCTATGTAAATCTGGCAGATTTAGTTTCCTTTTGTATTCTCTAGCCTGTATGTATATATACTGGCTATACCCAATGAATAAAATAAGTGATTTTCATTCCATCTTTTATCCCTATTACTCAGTTTACATGGTATCAGAGCCACACAGTTTTTTCGGGTAGTACTTCCCGAAGTTCGACTCTGTTCCCTCCCTCTGGTTCGATTCAGCCTTCTTTTGTGCGGTGCAGGACGTTTCTCGCACTTCGCAGGTCTGATTTTCTTTTCTGGACACAATCTGCACCGCATCTCTTGTTATCACTCTTGGCCTAGTCGTTTGCAAGCATGGGTGATGATAAGAAGAGTGTGACTGAAATTACGGTCGGTAATGCTAGAATTACCGAGAGAAAACTGACTGGTTGTAAAGATTACGGGCAGTGGAAACGGACTATTACCAGGTATGTTAATAGTCTTGATCTGGGAGATCATCTAAGTGAAATGGCTCCTCCACGAAGTCATCCTGATGAAAGAAAGAAATGGATGATGGCCGATGATAGGTTGTTCAATCAAATTCAGAATACCCTGGATCCTTCTATTGATAGTATCATTACTCACTGTGATACTGTCAAAGAAATGTGGGAATACTTGGAGTCTATGTATGCTAGTAAACAAGATCTCTCTTATGTTCATCAATTACTGATGCACTACTATAGACCAGAGATGAAGGACCAGACGCTGTTTCAATACTACAATGAATGTAAACAGATTTTTGAAGAAAAGCGGTCCCGATTCCCTATTACTGCTGATGTTAAGAGTATGCAAGAACAAGAGGAGCGAACATTTGTTCATGGTGTTTTGGCTGGGCTTGGTCCACAATATGAGGTATCAAGGAGTCAAATACTATCTGGTGGGACCCTTCCTAGTTTTTCTGACCTCTATGGACGTCACCTTCCAGTGTGCAAAGATGGAGAATCCAGAATGATGAACTCGATTGATACTGCTGCCTTAGTCAGTGATGTGAGCCGTGGTAAAAGGACCAATTCAGTCACTACTGAGGGGACTCATAATTCTTCTCGCACATGTTATCACTGTGGAGCTGAGGGTCATGTGAAGAAGAA